GAAAACCTTTTGTGTATTCATGGTTCTTTTATCCCCTTGAAACAGGGCTCAGGCTGAGGCTGCAATGCAGTGTGCTGACAGCATCACATCTGCCTCTGGTGGGTACCCTTGCAGCAGAGGGGCTGGTATTTTCCTCCTTGCACAGCTCAAGCCACACAAGGGTGGGTGAGGAAAGTTACCCTGAAGCATCAGCATGGGTTTCACACAACTGTCTGCCACTCTGCTGCTGCAGAGAAGAGCCATGGCTGCAGTCTTAAGAGGTTTCTTGGGTTTGGGGAATGTGGATGCGTACTTGATCTGTATGGGGGTTGAGAGAAAGTGACAGTGTTGGGTCGTAGCATTTCTGTCTGTGTTTGGTAGCTGGAGGCCTTTCCCTTTTGTATTTTACATTTGAATTCTTACAGAATGCAATGAACTGGTACCAAGAGTTAGTCTTGGACTTTCCTCTTGTGTGTTTGTGAGCTGGTGAATCTTGCCAGCCTCTGTGGTGATTTTGCACATGGAGTCTGGATGCTTTCTTCAGTGTCTACCTTCTCTAATTGCACGTGGACCCAGAAACTACGTGCATACTCACCTCAGACATCCAGACTCTGTTTGCTATCTCAAGAAAAAGTGGTTGCATACAGTGAAGCTTTTATTTTTACTTCCCAAAGAGTGTGAAATAGGAAAAGCCCAAGGACAGCAAAAGTACCTACAAAACATGCAAGTGTCACTTTTCCTAGAGTGGTCACCTTTATCAGGTGCTGGGTGCAGAAGCTGGTGGGCTTGAAGCTCACATTGCTTTTGAGCCTATTGAGAAAACCTCTTTTCCATAACCTTTGGAAACTCAACACCTGCTCTACCTGTGCAGCTTACGCTCAACAGAGCTTTCTACTGGAAGAATTTATTGGAAATAAGCACATTTGTGGATTTTCTTCCCCCTCCTTTTGTTCTTCAGGATATGTAATGAAAAATTCTCCAGTGTTGCCACTTAATTGCTTCATGGCTGTTGTTTGTCAATTTGCCAGCAGGTTTCTGCTTAACTGCTGCCATTTGACGTTGCTGAAACACAAATGCAGAATGATTGAGTTGCCAACATATCATTAAGTCTTCTGCGAGGGGCTTTTCAGCATATTAGAGCTTCAGGCTTTTACGTCACTATTGATTTCTGCAAGTGAAAAGAAACCTTTGGCAGCATTCAGCACTGTGCCAACCTGCATTTTCTGGCAGGAAAGCAGAAACTGGCCGTTGCCATTGATGTGACTTCATTCTTTCCTTCCTTCCTTCCTTTCTTTCTTGCATTCTTCATTTCTGTACACACCCACATGAAGAATTGAAATTTAATACACATTCTAGCTGAATTCTAGTTAGCCTAACAATAAATCAAAGGGTAAATTGGTTTTCTTAGTGCGTGGCCAGAGGCTGAGGCTGTTTCATTTGGAAGCTGCCGGTGTAATGCCCAACCAAGTCCCATGGTAGCTGGGGGAGAGCAGAACAGGAGGGGGCATTGGGCTGGTCCCTGGCTAGGGGACACTACAGGGGAGATGCTCCCTTGGGTGAGGGGAAAAGGTTTGGCACAATGGACCTTTTGGGCATGCTGATGATGACAGTGTCAGACTAAAATGCTGCTACATAGAGTCGAGAGGATAACAGGAAACGGGCGCAAGGCTGAGGTTTTGAAGAGAAAATGGGGAGTACTCATTCCTCAGTAGGGCTCGGGGATTTGCCCATGAGTCAGTGCCCTCACCTCTGGATTAAGGGTGTCTGGTGAGTGAAAGCTGAGTAGTTTGGCCAGAAGTACCTTGCACAAAGTTTTGGCAAAGTTCGATTGTGTGAAGATTTCCAGGAATGACCTGAGTGTTGATGGGGAGTGACGTTACAACTACTGAAGAGCAGCAGCCATCATTTTAGTTCTGCTTTTGAAATATGAACCCAAAGTAGAAACAATAGTAAACTGCCCCAAGATTGCTTCTTACAAACCTGAATTCAATATGTTGTTTAACTGACTGAAAGTCTGCTGAGGGCTGGACCTTTTGGCCAGAAGAATGTCTGAATGAAGAAGCTTCAAGGGTTTATTTTGTGATTTTCTTTCTTTCTTTCTTTTTTTCTTCTGTAATTGTGATCTTGAGTTTCTCTCCAAGGTTGACTGGCATAGGCACTTAGAGCTATAGAATGGAAAAGCAGCTTTATTGGAAAATTTTTAGAGGAGTCATTTTTTATTTTATTTTTTACCTCTGCCTGGGCAGCAGTAAACACAAGCATTATCTGGGTTGTTTTAATCAAAATGGCCTTAGAGAAAGGCTGGGAAATGCCTAAATTACAGCTTTTTTTCAGTGACAGGGTATCTTTTTGAATAAACAATAAAGGGGAAGGGAAGGGCTTGGTTTTTTGTTGGGTTTTTTTTTGACTGACAAGCTGTGGCTCAGAATGAGAAATGCTCTTAGGTGGTAATGGAAACATTTCATTTTGGAAGCACCTTGCCAGTGGTAATTGCAGTTTCAATACTTCTGTGCAGACGTTCTGTGAGCAGGACAGTCCCCAGCCAGATGATGTGGTCTGTAACAAGACCCAAAAAAGAGAACAGGAGCACAAAGCACCTGAACTGCAAATTCCCTGGGAACGCCCCGTTAGTGTTTCCAGATAAAACAATGCCAGATTTCAGATCCAAGCTGTTGTGCTACAATTTGCTTGCTTTGCTTAAAAGTCTGTATTTTCATCAGATTAAGGAATAAAGAAGCACCTGAATTATTTTCTAGCCAGCTCAATTAATTAATAGGAAAAGCCCAGCACATACTGTGTAAGAACTGAGCTGATGACTGGTGAGACCACATAAAACCCCATTTCTTTTTCTGTGGTTCTAGTACCATTCAAGGCAAAAATGAGGCTTGGGAGCAAAAAAATTAAAAAGTAAAGAAAGTGACCTGACCTTGATTCATTACAAAGATGTCAGGAATAGGAAGGCCCCATCTCAGGCAGGTGATCCAGAGCACGCTTGCCAGGTTTGTGCCTGGATCAGCAATGGTTCAGCACTCACCTGGCAGAAGTCATGCTCCACACTTGATTAATTGTCTTTCCCAGTGTGAGTTAAGGAAGTAAATCTTTTATTTCTAGATTTCCTCCAAGCTGCATAGCCTTTCTTCCAGCTTAATAATTTTTTAAAATAGGTGATGCAGTCCGTGCTTTGCCTAACGTGGTATTGTGTGCTCAAACTTCAGAATACTGGGAAGAGAAACAAAGCTTTGGTGTCAAGGGTGTCACTTTGGTGTCACTGTCCTGGCATTGGAAAAAAAGTGTATCAATGGGATGCTGCCAGTAGTTTAGCAGAGTCTGTTTTATGTATGCTTTGTTAGCTAGCTGTTGATTTTCTGTGTTCTTGCACTTTTTGTTATGTTTGAAGGTGCTTCCAGTAGTCTGGTTTTCAAGTACCTTCATTCATACGCAGCACAACCAAGGAGAATACGGAGGGAAAAAAGGAGAAACACTGAACTGGTAATGAGACAACTCATCCAAAAGAGATCAAATCCCTGTGCAGGGAGCACAGTGTTAGGGCTATACAGCTAATGCCTGCTTTGCTGACTCCTTTGCTATGTGATGCAAGCAGGAGTTTTTTCATTCACATGCTTACCAAGATTTGTACATCTATTCAGTTCTAGCAAGATGAGCAGGTTAATGCCCATGTATGAAGATAGCCAACAGTGTGTCTTTGCAGTCCACAAAGCCAACCATATCCTGGGCTGAATCAGAAGCAGTGTGATCAGCAGGTGAAGGGAGGTGACCCTGCCCCTCTGCTCAGCACTGCTGAGACCTCACCAAGAGTACTGCATCCAGATGGGGTGTCCTCAGTACAGGAGAGTCTTGGATTTGTTTACATACCCCCTTTTATGTTCCCTGCAGTACATGATGCTACACATTTGGGCTGAGTCTTGCAAACTGGCTTTTGGATCAAGCTAAATAAAATGAGAAATGTCATAGGGCAATACAGTGATGCACCTTTTCCCCACTATGGGTCACTTGCAGAGCTGCCTGTCCCCACAGCTGCTCCCTGCACTGTGCCATGAAGGAATGGTGCAAGGCACGGGCTGGGCAAGCTGCACTGCCACAAAAGAAATGTCACAGCCAGAGTGAGGGAGTCTTGCACCAGGCCAAGTCAACCCCTGGGGTGAATTCTTCACAATCAAGGAATTTCCACCAGAATAGATTTCTGTTTTCTATCACACACTGATTTATTCACATTTTAGGCTTTTTTTGCTCTTGCACTGTGATTTTTTTTTAAGTCTCTTTCTTTCTTTCTTTTAATGAGAGCAAAGCCTCAGAGCTCTTTTTAGTTCTAAAAGAAAGATTTGACGCATTCTGTCTATTCCGGTTTTCCCCAGGGGCATTAATTCATAAGCAACAAAGAATATTATAACTGTTTACAGTAGCCCTCAGTGAACAGCATGAGACTTGGGGATTTGAAAGAAGGAAGGGTATTTGGCTCCAGAATGAAAAGCTAAACTAAAAGCTTCATACTGAAAAATGTTTGGAGTTCCTCAAACAAACACCACAAAAAAAAATTTTAATTTGCCAACTTCTAAGATCATGTGAATCTTCAAACTGGTTTTGTTTCATTTATCTTGCTGTACCACAGAAACCAAAGCAGTCCCAAAGGTCAGAATGTCTGATGCTTTACCTTCAGCCGTGCCGTGCTCTACTCGTTCAATCACAGATTCCTGCTGTTAGAGCAGGCTGTGCCAGTGGACAGAAGGTGCTGTGGGTTTCAGCTGGACCCCAGGAGCTCTGCTGAACCTCTCTGCTGCCACACTGCTGACTCTGGTGTTGCACATTTACCTCCTCTATCCCACTACCACTCACATCCTCATTTTTGTGTAGGATTCAGGGTCCTGTGCCATGTAGCAGGCCGTTGCATATTGGGGTTATGTGGTCACGGACAATTACTTTGCATCTAGTTCCAGGTGACTTCAAAAAGGAAATTGGCTCTGGCTGGGATTTTCCTAATGCTGTTGTGTATTTTGCTTTCCCAGAGTGCTTCTCAGCTTCCCTACGGCAAAGCTCTCTATACATACGAGGGAAAGGAGCCTGGAGACCTCAAGTTTAACAAAGGGGACATCATCATACTGCGGCGGAAGGTGGATGAGAACTGGTATCACGGGGAGCTCAATGGCAACCATGGCTTCTTCCCCGCCAGCTACATCCAGTGCATCAAGCCACTCCCTCAAGCTCCACCTCAGGGCAAAGCACTTTACGACTTTGAAATAAAGGATAAAGATCAAGACAAGGATTGCCTGACCTTCACCAAGGTAGGAGAATAATGTTTTTTCCTAAAAACAAACAAACAAACACAAAAACACCTGTTTGGAAAGTGCCTCTTGCAACTGTGCCTGGATTTCCTTCTCTAAGTGGGGTGCCCCCTCATCCCCTGTGCTGAAAGACATTAATGTCTCCTGACATCTCCTCCTTCCCATTGGACAGAGCCCAGTTGCTGCCCCTGCAGTGTGCCAGCCAAGTCCTAAGGTAGCATCCTTGAGAAATTGCTCTCTTTTTGTCTAAAGGATGGACCACTGGGATAACTCATGGCAGGTACTGCGCAGTTAGCATAAAGCCAGTGCAACTTAACGAGTAGAAGAAGATATGCACTTCATGGCGATGCTTTTCTTTCTAAAAAATGTATATTTCATCTGCATCAAATTGTTATGCAAGAACTTCCAAATCTCAGAAAAAAAGGAAATGGAAATGTCTCCATTACTGTTCCTTACTGAATCAGATGTTTCTGTGTTTTTTTTTGTTTAAAAATGCCATGGAGCTTTAAAATGTTTGTTTCATTGCATCGTATCCCAGTTAGCAACTGAAACACGCTATCACAACATTTCCTATTTTAATAACAAAAACATGTTAAAAGCAGGCATTTAAAACAAAGTCATTGCTTTTTTTAAAGACAGAATTGTTTAATAAATTCCATTTGGGATTAGGGAAAATTGAGATATTGTCATTTCCTTTGGGTTTAAAATGCCACGTTTCCCCATTCTCCCCCACCTCCCCTCCTGCTTTCTGCTTCACTCACCCCTTCCTTGCAATTTGTGTTGACCTCAGATGGGATTCATGGATATCAAGAAAACCCATGGTAAAATGAAGCATATCCCCTAAGGTTAATTTACAGCACTGAAAGCCACGGAGAACCTGCTCATTGTCGTTTTCTATTTTATTTTAGCTGTCTGTGGTTGTTACAGTATCACATAAAGTAATAACAGTTATGCTGAAAATGAATATGAAATAGATGATAAAAATATCCTTCACTAGGATTTTACTGACCTCCTCTTTGGAGGCTACTTATTATAGCCCAATGGATTATTTGCAGCATATAATTTTCTCGCCAAACGTAACATCTTTTTCAGTTGTGCCACATTTCTCAGCAGAATGCAATTTCCTAGAACATATACTTTCTCATACTTATTTAACAAAAGATTTGTAAGCATTTTTGCTCTGCAGAGAGCAAAGTGTTTGATTGCAAACACTGCAGACCTTGTGACAACACAGCCTCGCTGGAGCTGTGAAACTCTTGAGTGAATGCACTGCTTGGAGGGAGCTGTGCGCTAACAAAGCCAGGAGTTACCTCTGAGACACTCTATATATTGATACTGTATATGTACAAATATACTGAGACAGATTTGTTGGCACCCTGCCCAGGTAGAGGTACAATAGTGGTTTATTTTCCTCATCTGTCTAAGGTATTCATCACTTGCTTGATAGGTGCAACACATTTGATAAGGCAGGCAGTGGTCTCTTTTGTTCCAGTGGGTGCTGTCTCAGGTACTTTTGTGTTTGGTATATGTGGTGCCATTTATTAGTATCCTCCCTTTACAGTAACTGCTTTTGCATACTGATAGTTCTCATTTTCTTGGCTGTCCATTCCCATAAGCATTTCTTTCTGCTGTGTAGCTCTGGTCTCAATCTCTCAGTTTTCCTTTTCTTACCCCTCTTGTTCCTCTCTGCATCCTTTTATCCCTGGTGCCTGTTTTTTCCCCAGAGAGGGTTTGGTTTCACTTCTGCTGCTGTTTTCTTCTTTAGTTCCTTCCACTATGCGCACTGTCACCTTGTAACTGTTTTTATGTCTTGCCTATTGTTCTCTCTGACAGTGAATAATCTATTTTTCATCTTGCGACTTTATCATCATGTTTTCATCGCATTTCCCAATGCTAATTTTAGCTGTCACCTGCTCTGATGAAGGTTCCTGTTTAGCTCAGATTTTAGATCATCTGCTGATGCAGCCAGTTCCTCTGCATAGTCACGGGCAACTGGTTGCTGCAGATGTGATTTGGCACTCACTCAGAGTAGCAGTCATCATTTGAGTGTCCCAGTTTGGCTGTGAGGATGCTGGATCTCAATTTCATCTACACTATTTCCTCTTTTCTCAGGTAGAACAGTTGCATCAACACACTATTCATACAAACTAGCACAATCTATTTGTGTCCCAACTATAATTTAATGCTACCAGACTTTTATAATTGGATCTTATTTATAAACATATAATAAAGGAGAAATTTCTTCTTAGCAGAAACTACCAGAAGACAAAACAAACATAGAGATCGTCTGTGTTATTATGTTTTGTTACTTGTTTGCAGGACTTTGCTTTTCCCCATCATCTCTGTTACCATGCAGTTAGGATATTTGTTGTTTGCAATAAAAGAAAACAAAGGAAAGATACTTGGGCTTTACTCTCAGGAGTTTTTTTTTCAACACTAAGATGTTCTGTTGTTCCAGAGATGGAGTGCAAGGAAGTGAAGTATGCCATACACTGATCCTCACAGGGCTTCTGCCATTTACCTGTTTCCATCTTCTATCTGCAGAACACTCTACAGAGAAAAGGCCAAAGATAAATCAATGATAATAGTTCTTTATGTGTTGCTGTAGGTGTAAAACTGGGAGGGACAGACTAACCTGCCTCCTGAGCATCCAGGGCAACAAACCTGCCATTCTCTTACGCATATGCACTAGTTCCCTAACTCCTCCTCCCTGATTTGCCTTAGGTAAAAGCAGAGGGTCCTGCCTTTGCAGGAACCATAAGAAAATAAATCACCCTGGGTACACAACTTAAGATATATTTTCCTCAGTGATTAGCAGGGATCAGCCAAATCACCACTGAGCAATTACATTGCTCTCTGTAATGACTGGCTGCATCCCTCAGTCAGTTTAAGTCCAGTAGCTCCTGATTCTCTCTAACATGGTTGATATCAGCATGGAGCATCCTGCTACACAGCTTTGGGATATGCTCACTGAACACAGTTTGCTAATGTCTCCTTAGGTGATACTGCTGTATGAGCCTGTGCTCTTGCTATGTCTTTCAAAAAAATGACCCATCCTTCCTTGGGCTGGGATTTCTGATACAAGAGGACTCTGATTTCAGCTACAGAAATACACATCTGGAGTAATCACATGGCTGTCTGGCTGGCTGTGTAGTTACTTCAGCCTTAGATGGAGTCCATCTTAAGCCCAGTTCTATTCTGGTGTTTGACCACATTTGCATGCATGAGTCAGGTGGCCCTCTGGAGGTTGAGTCCCAGTGGCAGATAAGTTTCAAACCTCCCAGAGCATCAACTGTTTCCCATACTTCGTTGCTCATCACATTTCCAATCCCATCATCCATTTCCTTTATTTTCTTTCCCATCATTTTCTCTCCCAGCCCACATCAATGTTTAACAAGTTTTGTGCCAATCCTGAAGCCATAACATGCTGTACTGGTGCCTGTCTGCATCCCAGGACTGTCTGCACTCAGCACTGGCAGTCTTTGCTTTTGAGAGAGATTGCCATGCTCTAGCTGTCAACAGAGATGCTTGCTTCCATCCTGCCAGTGCTAGGATCTCCCTGCAGCTGGAGATGGAGCTGTTATTTTGCAGAATAGCAGGCGCATCTGCTTGATGTTGCTTTGTTAGTGGCCATTAATGAGTAGAGTAAAAATCAAGCTGTGAGTCATGACTATTATTGGACACAATTTTGTGCTGTTTCCTCAGCAAAAGGGTTCATTTTGCCATCAATCAGATTGCTTTTTTCATGGTTTATCTTTTACTTATTTTCTGATAGTGGTTATAAACTGGCAGCATAGGTCCTACACACCTGGCTAGAACAAGGCTGCCCCATGCTGGTGAATAAGGAGAGACTTCAACAGGTAATAGGGGAGCAAATAATTAGAGACCTTAGCAACAGACACAGAAAGAGCACAACGTGTCTTTGTCAGCCTACAATGGATACCATTGGCTTTTGAAATGAGACTTCAAGCTTGGATTCACTTAATGCTGCCTGGAAATCAATTTAGTGTATGTGAAATAGTGAGGTTCAGAAAGTTTAAGTGATACACCAAAAGATCTGTGGTTCTCTACTATTCATGATACTTTTGGGAATCTTTCGAAGAATTTATAGGTATCACAGCTATCCAACTAATTTAAGACATGAGCTATTTTAATGTCAAAGCTTTTGCCAGCCCAGTGTGTAGAATGATGTTGTGGGCTCTGAATTCAAAGAAGCTTTCTATTAACAAAGAATGTCAAGAGATGTTTCAGGCTTTGCTGTAATTCCTGGAGATTTTTAGCACCCTTCTGAAAATGAATTCTGTAATGGAAAGCATTCCTGAGGATTTGCACTTTGCTCTCCCTCAAAGATGCACATTCTGAAAGTCAGCATATCTCATTATGTGAAACGATCTGATTTTCTCATATGTGGCCACATTTGACAGCCAAACTTGGCAGAGCTGAACTAAAATCAGTGAATAGAAATGCTTCCAGATTTCATAAGTCTGTAGAAATCAAAGCTGGAAGGGATCTCCAAGGCTCACCTGTTCCCTGCCCCATCCTTGAGCAGGACCAGCGCAGGATCCACTTCTCCTGCCATGTGCCTGTCCAGCCTGCCCCTGGGATGGAGACTGCACAGCTCCTTCAGTATAAAATCTAGTCAAGGGTTTATGGGGTTTTATAGTTCAAAAGTTTTTTTCCCATTTTCTTAGGTGTGCATGTGTATATATGCAGCATAGAAGACACATGAATGTATACGTAAGCATGTAACAAAAAATGTAGGCTCATCACACACTGTGTTTTGTAAAAAGTCTTTGGAGAAAATAGATAAAAAATGTAGGAAGTAGGAACAGATACAGCAGCTTCTTGAAGCAGTGAAGTCTTCTATTTTCCACGTTTACCCTCTTTACCTAGATTTATGATAATCGGTCTTTTGTAAGAGCATGTGGAAACTTTGCAGAGACACATAATTGTCAGTTCTTTACACAGATCAAAAATGGTCCATGCAGACACAGCTTTGGAAGGGAACACTATCCTTTTCTTCAGGAAATTAAATGCACAAATTCTTTTTGCATCCTTCCAGCTGTAATAAATAGCTGAAAGATTCAGTGTGTGGCTGTTTCTCTTAGCTTTCCCCTAATGGATTGTTCAGATGAATAATTCAGAGGAAACATTTAAACTATTTGGATGTGCACATGTTCACAATGCACACGTTGAGAACAGCACAACATGTCCATCACTGTTCTGGTCATTTTCTTTCAATTTCAATCTGTAGTTTGAACAGCCTGGGTTAGGAATTAGTTTATCCTATTTGAGATCTAACTGCAAAAAAAAATATCTCCTCTCACCTGGACAGTTAATATAGATAGCTTGTTACATAGACAGTTGTATACCATATGCATATATACACTTTTGTTTTCCTAAAGTGTTTAAAGTGGTGAAAATAAAGTGAGATTGACAGAGAACTCTATCTCAGCTTTCTGGAGGAAGACGTTATCTTCTTTCTTACAGATTTCTGCATGGGAACAGAGGAAGCTTGGATGCCATGAGAGGACTGACATATTGGCAAACTTGGCTTCACAGATTCTCTCAGCCCACTTCTTTCTTGCAGTTGCAGGAAAGCTTCAGTGGGATCTGGATTCAGCAGCAGCTGCCTTCAGCAGCAGTTGCTGAAGTGGTGCTGGGGCAGGGCCTGGCTAGGGATTGTAAACCCAGTACAAAGCTGTGACACCACAGTACACACCACAGATCTAACATTGAGCTAAACTGCTCAGAAACACTTAGAGTTTGTTTCTAGTCATATGAGCTTTTGTAATGACTAGCATGCTTTAGGTTTTAATCTATCAGAAAAAGCTTGTAACACTGTAAATCTTTCTTACCTTTACTTTTCTTAATCTCTGCTTTATAATGATAGAAGAAGGTCATCTTTAGCTGGGTTTTTTTTGCAAGATGGCTTAGATTAACTGTGGTATTACAGTGTCATTGGTTTTACAAAACTAACTTGCATCTAAACTGAAGCTGATCCAGCTGAATGCAACTTGTTTTTTATTGTTATCTTTTCTGCTTTACCTGCTTTGCACTTCCGTCTCCTGTTTTGCTGGGGTTTTTTTTGTTGGTTTTTTTTTTAAAGGAAAGCTTACATTCAGTGTGTTGGCAGTGTAGTCTGGTTGCCATTGGATGCTGGGCCCAGGACTGAGGGAACATTTGTACGTGGCTTATGGCCTTCTTCATATGCTGTCTCCCTAAGCTGTCATGTGGATAACTCTGTATAGTGGAAAAATCTGATGGCATATTCTGTGTCTCTCTGGTTTTAGGATGAAATTTTGACAGTCATCAGGAGGGTAGATGACAACTGGGCAGAAGGAATGCTGGGCGACAAGATTGGTATTTTCCCTATCCTCTATGTTGAGGTAAGTTCATGACAGATGGAGGTGTGTGGTTCTGTGAATGTCCCGCATTTATTTTCGCACTGACAAGGGCAGGCTAACCTTGGAAAATTTTGAATGAGAGGAACAAAATATACCAGAATAACTGAAAAAGGAAGTTCTGTTGTTTTGCCCTAAGGCACTGAGAATACATTCTTACCTTGGTCAGTTCAATTTGAATCAGCCAGCAAAATGCATGCCAGGAACTGCTAAAGTTTTGGCATTCCTGGTGTAATCTCTTCAGTTCATATGGGTAATGTGGAAGGGACTACAACCGGACATCTTGTATGCACCCAAGGAGAGGGGCTGCTGGCAGGTGGGAGGTAGATCAATAGCTTGGCTGTGCCTCAGAGCCCTTCAGAGGGCTTTGGGAGTGCCACAAGTGTTTGGGTTTTTTTTTTTTGTTTGTTTGTTTTTTGGTAGGATCTGTGTAGTTATTTTAGCAGGATGTCTTAGAATCACAGAATATCCTGAGTAGGATGAGAACTACAGGGATCATCAAGTCCTGTTGCTGGCTCTACATGGGACCACCCAAAATTTGAACACTCTTTGGAATGTCCAAATGCTCCTTGAGACTGGGACCATGACCCTTGGCATCCTGTTCCATGCCCACCACCCTGTGGTGCAGCCCTTTCCCTAACCCCCAGCTGCCCTCCCCTGACAGCTCCATGCCGTTCCCTCGGGCCCTGTCGCTGTCACACAGAGCAGAGCTCAGCGCTGCCCCTCCGCTCCCTGTGAGGAGCTGCAGCCGCCATCAGGCCTCCCCTCAGCTCCTCTGCTCTGTGCTGCGCACACCCAGGGGCCTCAGCCGCTCCTCACACACCTTGCCCTACAGACCCTTCCGCACTTTCACAGTCCTTTTTTGGACACTCTAACAGCGTTATGCCCTTATGTTGTAGCACCCACACCACACGCAGTGCTGGAGGTGAGGCAGCACACACAGAGCAGAGCAGGACAGCTGCTCCCATCACCCAGTGGCAGTGCTGGGTCTGGTGCACCTCAGGGTATGGTTGGCCTTTGGCTGCCAGGGCACAATGCTGGCTCACATTCAGGTAACCGTCAGCCAGAATCCCCAGATCCTTTTGTGTGGGGCTGCTCTCCAGCCTCTCATCCCTTGCTTACACAGTTGGTGGTTGCCTTCAGGTTTGTCAAGATCATTCTGCAAGGCCTCTCCATTCTCAAAGGTGTCAGCAGCTCCTCCTAATCTAGTCTTGTCTGCAAAATTACTTGGTATCCACTCAAGTCCTATGTCCACATCATTTATAAAAACACTAAGAGAACTGGCCTTAAAATGGAGCCCTAGGGAACCCCAGTAGAGTCTGGTCATAAACCCGTCTTCTGGAGTTAAGTTGTGTTTGAAGTCTCTGGGAGAGAGAATTCTTTGTCCAGAGCATTTTCCATAAGTCATTTTCACGCGAGACTTCTTTTGGCTTAAACACTTGGACCTCATGTCCTCTTCCCACTGCCATGTGCTCTCCTGCTTATGCCCATCCAGTTAGAGGCTCCTCAAGGAAGAAGTTCAGAGTGCCCTTATTGTGGCCCTGTTGGAGCTGGTCTGCCTTCTCCAAGCACCTGTGGGGAGCTTTCCTCCCTCATGGATGAACCAGAGGTGCAAAGAGCTGATGGGTAGGTGCTGCCATTCCCCACTGGATGCTCGATGATCCTAAAGCCACCCAGCAGCATTGGTGTAGGCTGTTGCTTCTCTCCAGGGTGAAGTATTTCATATGCAGGCACAACAGAGCCCACCCAAGCCGTACTGCATGCAGCTCTGATGCCTGCATCCCAAATTACTTCTCCAGATTTCTTAGTTAATGGCTTGAGACAAAACAGAGATAATTAGTGCCTGAGTACCTAATTATTAACTCCAACAATGACCAATTTGGAATAAGCCATCATTAATACACATTGCATTCCCACAGTTGACAAGAACAATGATATTAAAACCAGAATGTGTAGGAGCCGTTATTGGAAAACCAGCTGCTGCCCATAAGTTAATGACTAGATTTCTTCTATTCTGAGCATGTAAAGACCTTTTCAGTTTGTTGTGATTAAAAAGACAACTAGGATTTCTCCCAGGTTTCATCTTTTTTTTCTTATTGTCTTTCATGCCTCTAGGGGTGTAATGTGACTGTCCTGAATTTTGCTATGGAAAGAGTGAATAGGGAACCTCGGCCAGCCAGCTACGGTTACACCCTGCCACCTTTCCACAGCTCTAGTCTCACCTGCAGGCTGCAAGTGCTTGCACTACCTACTCACCATCCACTATCCTTATCCCTCTCCCACCCCTAGGTATCTGTTCTCTTTAATTACTGCTCCTGTAGGATGAAAAGCTCAAAGCCTCAGCTGAGCAGCCCGTTGGGAAGAAGTGCAGTGTAGTCTCAGTGAAGTTCACAGTGCACTAAGTAAGTGTGCCCCAGACAACCACGGAGGAACAAGAAGCATGGTTGTGTAGAGTCAGAAAATCAATATTGGAAGTTTCTAAAGAAATACCAACATCCAGGCATCCAGCACTCAGGGAGAAGGACATGTGTAGGAATGTGTATGTGCGTATACGTTCATATGCAGACACACACATATATAAAAAAATGTACAACTATGTACTTTTATGCACACACATAATTTATCCACATAAATTTGAAATCAGAAGATGTGAAGGGCATTTTCAAATGAGACACTTTGATACCGTGGATGTAATACGTGTGCCATGGTTTGTAAAGCCAGAGGGAAATGATCCTCCAGTCGTGAACATCAACCACTTATTTCATCCACGTCCCAGTGGATGGGGGCCTTTTTCTGAGTATGAAATGTGCTTATGCAGCTATTGGAGTTTTATAGTTATCTCACTGTTGCCAGGTTCGTGTGTTACTTTACATTAAAAATTAGGAGGAATCAGCAGGCCAAATCCCAATGAATTTTTGAAAGTCTCGGTGCCAATGTTTATAAAATAAATCCATTAAACAAGTAGTACTTCCATCTAAAAACACTCCTCGAGCCTGTCCAAGTCCATTAAGTGGTTTTCAGAATCTTGGCAAAATGTGCAGAATAAGCAAAGCTAAACTCGCACAGTAGCCTTTCACTTGTGTGAGCCGATCAGCTGAAGTGTGTAGGATTTTGCATGCCACCCAAAGCTGTGGATGGAGCAAATCCCAGCCCAGAGTCCATCTCTAATGTCAGGCTCTAATGTCCCCAGCTGCTCCCACAGACCAAACAAGGCTCTCACTACAGCAGCCAGAGCTGTGCTACAAAACAAGCTGACGGCTCAAGGATTCTGAATTTCTGTTTGTGAGGGCAACTTCCAGAATAAGACTATAGTGTCAAAAAGCAGCGCCACAGAATACTAGAGGAAGATATCCCGCAGTGTTCTAGAAGGTCTGTTATCTCAACATGACGTGTGGTTGTCCAGATGTACAGCGTAACATGACATTTTTTTATGCTTTATTCCTTCAGTGTCCAGCACAGGTGCTTGTATGCCTGCTGTGCCTGAGAGCTTCCTGCAGAGAGGCTTTTTCCCAGCTTTGTAGTGTCATCTCTGTCCCAAACCACAGAAGCTACAATAGTATGAGTTATATTTATTCACAGTTCACAATGGTGACTTTTACAGAGTGAGTCACACACAATATGTTGTCAAAGGAAGTTGACACCTTTTTTTAAATTATTTATTGTCATACTTCATCTCCAGTAGAAGTCTTTTGTGCTGATCATTTATGTTTTAATTTATCAGCAGAAAAAAATCCACAACACAATCAAACTGATTCTCAAGGTGCCTTTTGCCTGGAAATAAACATCTTATTAATAATCTGTATGGTCTGTAGTCCTATTCTTGCTGTGAAGTGTTTAGGACCTGTAAGGAATTCAAAGCCCTAACTGGATTTCTTTTATTTTACTGTCTTTGAGCCAGCTCTTTCATTCTTAATAACTGCTATTATCTCTGCTTGGAAGTTATAAGTATAGTGCTGCTTCGTATAAAATTGAGAATAATGAAGATTATAGTGTGTTCTAATAGATATAGGTGTGCAGGAATGAAACTTGAGGGCAACAGTGTGTCGAATATTGGAAGGTCTGAATCCTGCTTTGATGGTCAGAAACTACAGAAAGCAGAGCTGTTAGACCAGGAACCCAGCCTGCAGCCCTAGAGCAGAAAGGCATTCCCCATGATCAAGAAGCCTTTCGAGTCTGTGGTGGAGCAGGGCAATTACGAGGAGCGCGGCTGTGACTGTAATATCAGCACATTACAATTGATGAAGTGCCAGCCCATTGTAATAATGTTTTATGGCAGCAGGGGCACTGAAAACTGTGATTAAGTCATATTAGGAGTTTTAAAAGTCTTTTTACAGAGCAGCGAAGCAGAGTAATGGGGATCTTCTTCTGTTCTCAACAGTCAGAATGAAGAAAAGGTAAAAAGGAGATCTTGAAGAAAGTAAGAGCAGTAGAACTGCAGACCTGATGGTCTCCATGCCCTGCAGTGTGGATTTAGAAGACTCCCTCGAGACCTGGGGAAAAAAAATCTTGGGAGTCTGTGTTTAGAAAGAGTGCAGCCAGAAGGAAAAAAAAAATAATCCAAAGCCAAATGCATATCTTAATTAAAACAATGATTTTTCATTCCAGAATTAGCTTTGCAGCACTGATCACCGCATATAACAGCTTTGTACTGTAGCACTGAATCTACCAACCACCTTAAAACAGCTTACCCCATACCCAAGAACATTTGCCAGGATCCCAGCCTATGAGCATTGCATAGTGTCAGAGAGACCCATCTTTCCAGCAGAATTTGTCCTTAGCTGTATAACTACTTGTTTTGCTGAGGGCAGCCCTTAATTAGCCACCAGATGAATGCAAAGGGCTAGGAGGTAGCACACCTGTGTGTGTGTGCATTAAGTTAATGTGAAAACCACGTGTTCCAGGAAGAGATGCAGAGAGCCGGTCTGAAAAAAGCAAAGCCTTTCCCACAGCCCAACCTAAGCTTTGCTTCATTTTGAGATTGTTCA